ACTGCAGGGAACTCTGCAAAAAACGCATCTTCGCACGGGCAGCCCGTGCGTTGGCCAATTTTTTACCGATTATTTTCACCCACTTCGCCAGCAAAGTAATTTATCATATAATTGCAGCAATATCACGCTCTGCGCAAGCGAATGATCACTCAAATACGGTGCACAAAGATTTCTTCCGTGAAGAGTACTTGCTGAATCACTTGATCGGCGTCCTGAAAGTGCCATACATTGCTCTTCTGGATGGTATCACCATGGGCGGGGTGAGCTTTTATATGTACACTGTGCATCTTTTAGTTATCTTTAAATGGTAGCTACTTTTATGCGTAAATCTTTGCGTACTAAGGCCGGGAAAGGTTTGCACGGATGGGCTAAACGTTAAATTCAAGGTGTAACTTTTAAAAAAAAATAGGGGCAACATTTGATGGGAAAATATCGGCAGAACTATGAGCAGAACTACGTCTTCTGGGACGTGCCACTATTCATCAAAACCTGTGAAAGAAGGGACTGCCAATACCAAAGGCCGAGCCAATTTGATTCGTTTTTAAAAACCGGAGAAGGGAGATAGCTGGAATTGACTTAAGAGTTGAGTTCAGACAGAAAATTGCCGGGAGTTTTTTCGGTTAAAAATCCTGTACAGCTACTGGATGATGAGAAGAGGCTTATCTGTTCTGAATTGAGCCGAGGTCCGGGCTTTCGCGGGTTCCGCTTATACTTTTTTTGATGGAGCACGCTCCTCATCGATCATCCCCGCACTCGGCTAAATACACGTTTGGCTTTTCCAAGTTTTGTATAAGAATTAGGTTTCATTATTTTGTGCATTAAATGAAATGGTAAATAAGCAGCAACTGTGGTAAATTCAGTAGGTCCCCGGTTTGAATTCTATTTGACTATCTTTCTATCATTTATGCGGGTAGACAAGCATGGCACACTGCAATAGAATTTTAATTTTAATTTTAGTTGGTATGTGTTTATGTAAGATGTAAGGAAATAAAAAAGGAAAATGTGGGTAAGATTAAAATCTGAATGGGAATGTTTCGGTACATCAAGTCGCATACATTCCTGCTGCAAATGGACCTCGTCAGTCTGACGATTGCAGCGAAAGTAGCATGCAGTGTGCTAAAAAAAGAAAAAAGAAAGT